GCAATGTAAAAAATTAGATTCGTATTTTTTGTTCTTTATGGAGAGTTGTATAAACATGTATTTACGAACCCGGTTTTTCAAAACGTAAGTCTCGTAAAGTTGTTAGCCTCTTAAATCGTGTTTGCTTAATATTTTCTCTTGTTGAAATATGTAAGTTTGTATTTTTTTTCTGGAAAGACATCTGCAAACGTTGGCTGCCGATTCTGAATTAATGTAATTACCAGATCGGCCCGTGATAGAATTATTGGGAGCTAAGTTGTTATTAAATAGGGAGAAGGATGGGCCGTTATAATTAGTCTGGATAAAATTAGGCAGGAGTTAATATAGGCGGCGCTAGGTATAAAATTATTTTTAGTGGAGGAAACGAGTTAACCGATAAAGGGTTCTTAAAGCCTAGGGTCCTACCTAAAGGGCCCGAGCTTAATAACATAGAGGGGAAAAAAATTGTTTCCAGTCGGACAGTGCGAGACGTTAGTAGCCACGAACCGATTAGCTGTTCACACTGTTGAAAGGAAGACCTGAGGTCAATTATTGTCGGCCCTGGCCGATTTTGCCTGGAGGTTTATTTTATCCAAAACTGGGACCGCCTGATTATAGTGTACGTCCCACCAGTCCAGGACTGAGCAAACACACGGGTTTTTTCCCTTCCTATAATATTTCGTCTCCTTTTCCTCTTCCATCTCTACGCCCCCTCTGTCTCGAAAGCCCTCTCTCACCCTTCTTGTTAATCAAGTTGACAAGGCAAGTATAATTTAGCTAAACGTCACAACATGTTTATTTTTGGTTGTGATGTTGTAAGGCGAACTCTTTTCCGGCGATTCCAGTTTTCTTGGAGAATATAACGAAACCTTGATATATTTTGGCCTAGTGAAATCCATCTTTAGTTACAAAATTTCATTGAAAACAATAGAAAACACCTTATTTTACACAGAAAACAAACACTTTGAGTGAGTACAAATACTTTGAGTCTAAAATTTCTAGCATTGTATAAATTCATTTTGTCACATCCCATATATATTTGTATAATTTAAACAATGTTTATAAATCCCAGGCTCTGAAGATGATCTCAATAAAGATCGAAACGTTGGCACGATACGGAAATTATTTTTCTAAACCTACATCACACAAGACCGCATCTCACGATCTCTAAATAATAATTAACGGTCACTAAATTCCACATATTTGAAAACAGTGTTGATTACTAAATTCACTAGTTTTCGTGGTCCGTTTGACCAATTAATATCATTCAATTAATTAAGGTTTTTAGTTGATAAAAAAAGTCAGCGTCACGGGCGGGATTCGAACCCACGACCTTCGGCTAGATAGGCCGCTACTCTACCACTTGAGCTATCATGCAAGCTAAAAACCTTAATTAATTGGTCAAACGGACCACAAAAACGAGTGAATTTAATAAGTTGAAATGAAGTATATCTTCACTGTGGCCATTTGTCGCCGAGAATCAAATAGATTACACGACATTTGAAAAATGGCAAAAAGGAGGGAAAATTCAAAAGGTGGGGTTGAGATGGGAAGTTAGCGTCCGAGTGGATTGAAGTCACGATACCTCACGTGGTAGAGTAGCGGCGTAACTAGTCGAAGGTCGTGTGTTCGAATCCCGCTCGTGACGCTGACTTTTTTATCTCAGCTAAAAACCTTAATTAATTGAGTGTTGATTATGTCGGTTTTACTTTAAGTAAAATATCACGGAAACCACATATTGATAAAATCCTTAACAAACTATAACCAATATGAACACTGTAAAAAAAATTAAAACCTACAAAAAAAACCTGATATCACCTTAAAACTTGTTCATTCGTTAGTAATGACATATATTTTTACAATTTAGTCGACATGAGTGATCTCAACTATATTGAAAAATAAACTTCATAAAGCACAAAATACGTGCAACCCTTATATCCTTAACTTAAAATATGATTGCAGAAAATATGATATTTTTGTTTATATTAAAACTGTTAAAAATTAAAGATTTACAAATCTATTCCATAGCAAAATTTTAATACAAAATACTAGAAACTAAAAATCCTTCATACATTGTTTGATTCACTTAATCAATCTACCAAAACACAGAAAAACCCTCGTAGCCATCCATGTCACTTCTCTCTGCCCGCCCTCCTACTCTCATTCACTCTCTCTCTCTCTCTCTCTCTCTCTCTCTCTTTCTCTCTCTCTCTCTCTCTCTAACTGTCACTATCACATCTCTTTGTCCGTCCCCCTTCCTTCTCTCTCACTCACTTTCCTAATGTCACTTCTCTCTGTCCATTCTCTCTCTCTCTCTCTCTCTCTCTCTCTCTCTCTCTCTCTCTCTCTGTCTCTCATGATTAATAATTGAATTTATATCTGTCAACTATTTAAACTATTATAGTGAATTGTATGTTACTTTGCAAAACTTTGTAAGTTCTTTTCCGGATTTGTTTCTCAATAGATTTATTAGAGTTTTTTAATGAGGTGATAAAATTTAATTTTATACGTATGTTATCTACAGCATTGTTAGTAAATTTGGAAATTATATAATTTCTTTCATTATAGATTTATTAGAGTTAAATGAATAAATTAGTAAATTTTTATGTGTGGTGTTTAGTGACCGTTAGCCAATGATTATTCGGAGATCGTGAGATGCGGTGTGGTGTGAAGTAGGTTTTAGAAAAACATTTTCTTTATTGTGCCCAAGGTTTCGATCTTTATAGAGAACATCTTCAGGGCTCAAAATGAGCACTCTCAACATGACAAGAATGACACTTTTTCACGGAAAACAAAAACTTTGAGCGTTGAAGATAATCGCAATAAAGACCGCACCTCACGATCTCCAAATGAGTAAATTTTTCTTTAATTATTATTACTGCTCCACATTCAGCTTAAATTTGTTTTTATTTCTATATAGCGCACGTAAGTATATTCAAATTGTAAAATGTTCGTTTCTCGTTGAGTGTAAGAAAGATCTATTTATTCTGGCGATGTTATTCAATAATAATGTGCTCTTCATAAAACTGTAACTTATAAGTTTAACTTACTCTCACTTTACTCATTTACTTCATTGTTGATTTTGCAATACTTAAGTCTGATAATAATACTATAAACAAGTATTATAAGTGTAATTACACTTTAAGTGGAAGATATGGAGACTTAACTTTTGCGTGCATTTTAATAAATAAATTGTTAATCTCTCTCTCTCTCTCTCTCTCTCTCTCACTCTCTCTCTCTCTCTCATACACACACACACACACACACACACGCACATGCACACACACGCACACACACGCACATGCACACACACGCGCGCGCGCACACACACTCACTCACTTCATTCCGTCCGTCCACCTTCTCACCCCTTCTCTATCTCACTCTTTCTCTCTCTCTCCCTCTCTCACACGCACACACGCACACGCACACACACGCACATGCACACACACGCACGCGCGCGCACACACTCACTCACTTCATTCCGTCCGTCCTCCTTCTCACCCCTTCTCTATCTCACTCTTTCTCTCTCTCTCCCTCTCTCACACGCACACACGCACACGCACACACACGCGCGCACACAAACTCACTCACTCACTCACTCACTCATTCACTCACTCACTTTCTCACTCTCACTTCTCTCTGTCCGTCCCCCTTCTCGCCCCTACTCACTCACTCACTCTCTCTCTCTCTCTCTCTCTCCCTTAAGAAAAAGAGCATGATTAAAATTGAATTTATTATATTCTGCGTGTATTTTAATAAACAAATTGTCAATCCCTCTCTCTCACTCACACACACACTCTCTCTCTCTTTCAAAAAAAAAAAAAAGAAAAAAGCATGATTAAAATTGAATTTATTATATCTGTCACCAGACCGTATCTCACGATTTCTAAATAATTATCTGTCAAGTATTCAAACTATTAATTGTAATTACACGTTAAGTGTATGAAATATCCTAGAGTCCTAACTTTTGCGCTTATTTTAATAAATAAATTGTTAATTTCTCTCTCTCTCTCTCTCTCTCTCTCTCTCTCTCTCTCTCTCTCTCTCCCTCTCTCTCTCACTCTCTCTCTGTCCTTTCCTCTTATCGCCCTTATCTCTCACTCACTCTCTCCCTCACTATTTCTCTCTCATCGCTCTTTCATCTATGTTATATAACACCATTATTATACTCACGTTTAAATTCGTAAATATGAAATCAATTATTAAAATAAAAGCTGAAGAAATTACGGAGATAATCGTATTTCACTAATACACAAATAACAACCGTCCTAATTAAAATCTCGTTTTGTTTTTAAGCGTTACGACCTAGGAAATATTCAAAATTTCTTAATTTGGCAATTAATTATCTCTCCTTGTTTAGATTCGCTCTCTCTCTCTCTCTCTCTCTCTCTCTCTCTCTCTCTCTCTCTCTTTCACTCTTTTATCTATGTTATTTTTATATCGTTCCCCCACCTTCGTTATAATTAAGTTTAAATTCGTAAATATGAAGCCAATTATTAAAAATAAAGTTTGAAGAAATTATGAAGATAATCGAGTTTCACTAACACCCAAACAACGATCGTCCTAATTAAAACCTCGTGTTGTTTTTTAACCTTACGACACCCAGGAAATATTCAAACTTTCTTAACTTAACATTTAATTGTCTCTCCTTGTTTAGCTCTGTGTTATTTAATTATAATTAATTTATCATTTCTCGCAGGATTTTTGTTTCCAGATGTACTTTATGTGCTGTCGGTTTATTTTTAACTTTTTTAAATTTAACACGTCCTTTTTTGAAGGGTTTTTTCATTGTCAATTCTTCAATTTTGCAAATAAAATTATTGGAAAAATATTAATTGTTGTCGGTATTGGGGGCGGAAGGGTGGCGTCGGTGGAGGGTGGAGGTGGATGTAGATGCCGGGGAGGAGTCGTGGGGCGGTCGGCCGTTTCCGCCGTTGTTCGCCCCGGCTCGGCCCAGCTGCCATTATCGGCAGGCGGACCATTGGGAGGTCACTCGAAAGCGGCAATCCGATTGGCTCCGAGCGGCGAGAGCGGAAACTGAAAGCGAAACGACCGCCAGACCTCAGTAGTCACTAGGATGGCATCAGCCGAAGTCGCTTCGTGTCTATCCGCCGGACGTCCGCTTCTACCGGCTTCACAGCAGCCGCCTCATTAGTTTGCGTGTGTTGTGCCGGTTGTTTGTGTGACATGAGCCGTTTCGTCCTTAAATGCTATGTGATCGCGAATCGGGGCTGATCTGTCGTCGGGCGCGTGTGTGTTTTTGTGCGGGCGTGTTTTGAAAAAATGCCGCATGTGAGCAGCGGAAGCGGCGGTGATGATTTCGGGAGCACTGATGAAGTCAAAGTGTTTAAAGACGAAGGCGAGGACGAGAAGAGGTCGTCGGAAAATCTGACCGAAGAGAAAAGCAGTCTAATTGATCTCACCGAATCCGAGGTTTGTCACGTGTTTCTTTATATTTTAATCCTTTTTTAATTGACTAATCACGTTAAAAAAATCTTCGACGAGACCAGGTTAAATCTATGTAAATCTTGCACGCGTTTTTCCTCATTAAAAAGAAAATCCTACGGTTTGTTTACTTCTACGACCTATCCGTATGAAACATGATTTATACTTACAACAAAAATTCAGAATTTTACCATTAAAAACACAAAATATAACCAAACAAAAAATGTCAAACCGACATGATTTGGCCCGCCAAAGAAAAAAACGCGGGCATCATAACCGCCAACAAAATCATTCAAAAAAAAACCACTCATATTTTTTTACCAATTTATTTACATTATTGATGTTAAACTCAAGGGGAAATACAATAAAAATAAATAAGCTGCCAAGAGAAAATAAAAATTAATTTTTTAACTAACGTCCGGCTTTTTCACTGCCTTGAATCCATAACCTTTTTAAGGTAGGTTTCCCTAAATAAAAAAAAAAAAAACCAAATTGCATATTTACATAAAATAACAATTAATAATTCCTTTGAGTTGTTTATAAATCGAAAAATAATGAAAACGACGGTTTTAAGGCTTTTTTTATTGGGAAATTTCAATTTGTTTGGAAGCATTTGACACTTCACGCTTAATTGGCCACTGTTTACCAACCTGTGACGAATCGAAAGAAACGTACCTTCAGGAATTTTAATCCGTTTTATTTATTCATTTTTTTTTGTAATAAACCATACAGTTCGTAATATTGATAGATTTTTAATTAATGAGTTAGAAAAAAAAGTTTATATATTTTTCCGACTTTTTTTTGTTGTCGTGGCTAACCTGCTAGTTTGACAGTTCACACCAGAAATGGCTAATGTTTACCTTGTGAGAAAGACATTTCGTGGGGAAAAAACACATTTTATTCTTTATTTAGAGGTTTTTAAAACACTAAATTCACAGTATCGAGGCATTGTTACGTTTGAAAGACATTTTACGCATTTTTCTAATTTTTAATACAACACAATATGAACGTGAATAAATTGGATCCATAACCTGTTAAGGTATGTCGTGAAGGTCAATAAATTGCATTTCTCTTTTGAAAATAATTATTGCAAATAATGTACTTAGTGTATTTCAAATTTAAACATTGTTACGAAATAATTAAGATTTTTTTAAAAAATTGTTTTGAACCGTGTCATTTTGCTATAAAATTTGCCAGTGCCTTACAACCAGGAAGAATTCTGGACAAAACGCTTTGTCTTTTCTTCCGATTTTATCTTTTATTTTAACTTTTAATTCAAGATTATCCTTAATATAAGGAATCAAAACATTTTTTAACACACGTCCGACCTGATTTTGAATGTTTTAAATCATAACATTTTACACTTTTTTCTAATTTTTAATACCACATAATATGAACAAGAATAATTGGATCTATAACCTGTTAAGGTATGTCGGACCCCGAAATGTCAACAAATTATCATTTCTTTTACAAATAATTTTTATATGAAGCTAATTGTTTTCATATTTAGAATTAGAATTTTAAAAAAAGATTTATTTAGAACCATGGTATTTTGTATAATTTGCCAGTGTTTGTAAACAGAAAGGCCACCAATTCTTCTTAACGAAATCCTTTTTTTTTCTCTCTTCGTTTTGTCTCTTATTTAAACTCTTAATTCAAGATTATTAATCATATTTTAATATTAGGTATGAAAACATGTTTTAACACATATCCGACACGAGTTTGAATGTTTTGTATCAGCCTGTTAAGGTATGTCGTACCTAAATGTCCACAAATTGCAATTGCTTTTACAAATAACTTGTATATTAGTGTATTTGTTTTTATATTTAAACATAGTTACAAGAGAATTAGGATTTTAAAAAAGTAGGAATTATTTTGAACTACGGTTCTTTACATAAGAATTTGCCAGTGTTTGTAAACAAAAAGACAAAAAATCTTCAAACGTATCCCCTTTTCTCTCAATTTTGTCTCTAATTTAAACTCAAATTACAAGACAATCAATATGAGGAATAAAAATATGTTTTAACACTTGTCCGACGAGAACTTGAATGTTTTGAACCATAACCTGTTAAGGTATGTCGTACCTAAATGTCAACAAATTGCAATTTCTTTTACAAATAACTTGTATATTAGTGTATTTGTTTTTATATTTAAACATAGTTACGAGAGAATTAGGATTTTAAAAAAGTAGGTTTTATTTTGAACCACGATACTTTGCCACTTAATTTGCCAATGTTACAGAAAAACACCAATTTTTCTTAAGGAATCTTTTTTTCTCTCTTCGTTTTTTCTCTTATTTAAGCTCTTAACTCAAGATTATGGATCCATCTTTTATTTAAGGAATAAAAAACGTGTTTTAACACACATCCGACAAGAATTTGAATGTTTTAAATCCTGACTAAGGGTTATTTACGTAAAAAAATTAAACTTAACTTTGATAGTAATAAGCTTGACATATTTTAAATTTAACCAGTGCAACAAGTGAATTAGGATTTTGCTTGAGGATTGGTTTTGAATCTTAAGCTTTATAAAAAATTTTCTAGGAAGAGATATATTCTTTTTAACAAAACTGCCCTTTTTTCATTAAATTTGTGTAATAAACACTTAATTCAAGTCTATCAATGAGTCTTTAATATATGGAATCGAAGCTTTTTATTTTTAACACATGGTCCGACATAATTTTCAACGTCTTGAATTGTTCCCTGTTAAGGTCAGTTATACGTAACAGTCAACAGTTCCATTTTTCAATTACTAATAATTATCTTAATGTGCTTGACTTAATTTAGATTTCAGCGGTGTTACGAAAAAAATTAAGATTTTTTCAAAAGAAGGATTGATTTTGAACCATAGTACCATAAGGATTTTCCAGGGTTTCTATCTTACCAGGAAGAAAAAAATTCTTCCTAACTGAAACACTTTTTTCTCTCTTAACATTGTTTCTTACTTAAGACACTTAACTCGAGAATCGATCCTTTTTTAATATTTTGGAATCAAAACTATTTGCGAACACATCAATCTTTTAAAGTTTTCCCTGTTAAGGTTTGTTAATCATAAAAGTTCAGAATAATTTCATATTTTTATTAACACCTTTTAATTAAGTGTCGCAAATTGAAAAATAAAATAAATCCGGTGGCTGTGAGTTCTTGGAAAAGAAGGGTTTGTTTTGAACCGGTTGACTGTTGTTGTCACCTCACGACAGAATTGGCTGAAAAAATATTCCATTACGAAAATAAAAGCCGGTGTATTTTTCGCAAATTTTAACTTATGTAATTACTTAATTAATATTGATCAGAAAAATAATTTTTTAACACGAGCTCCGACATGATTAACAATAAATTGATAACATGTTAAGGTTTTTGTCTTCGATAATCGAACTAATTTCCTTTCATAATATGTCAGATTTCATTAAAAACGTGTTAAAACTCATTAATTTCTTTGTATAGACACCATTTTCTGGCATTTGTAGTTTATCCAAGCATATTCACTTTAAGGCGCCAAGTAATAACAAACATGCATAACTCATTAGGAATCAATCAGGTTTAAAACATCAGGATCTTGTGTGCTAACATAGGATAGGTGGGTTGAAGTGAAGTTAGAGAGCTTAGAAGAAAAGAAAAAAGTTCCAGCCTCCTCATTGCTCATTCAGAGACTGGTCAAGAGTTACGCAATAAAAATAAACGAACAGTTACTCATCAAAGCAAAAGTGCACTGAGGTTGCGACAATGTTGATATCACTACTTTGATAGGATGACTTTTTTGCGATGGAGTCTGGAACTTTTATCTTTTCTTTTGAAGGTAATGGCGTGAAAAGAAAAAGAACGAACTTGGCCACAGTGCATATATCATTATTTTGATAGGCTAATTTTTTTTGGAGGGGGTCTGGAACTTGGCCATTTTTTTCACGATTCGGTTTTAGTTGGGGTTTCTTCTTCTTGGATCCTGATGAGTGGTGAACCCATAGTTCGTTTTGGTTTGCCTATCCTTGCGGTTGTGCAGTCTTCTACGAGTTGTGAGCAGGCTGTGGCAACTTCTGAAATGGCTTTGATCTCTACGTTGTTCTCGGATATTTATCTGATTGGCTATTATTTTTAATTGATTTAGCTTAAAATGTTTCTTTTAAGGAAGCACTCTTACTTTCATTTTTAATATTGGAAAAACGTTACTTTGACTTTGTTATTCGTAAAATCTGACTTGTTGGCGGGTGGGCTCTATTTTCGTTTGCATAAAAAATGCACTGAAAACAGAAAACAGTGTCAATATTTTGATATCTGCACATATGAGTGTTTATCAAAGGGGAGGAAGTAATTCTAGATTTATACTATGGGTCAAAGCGACGTTCCAATCTAAACATCCGCCCACGAGGGTATTCCTTTCATTTTTACACAGATTCGTCGTCCCCCGAGCAATTGATGACAATTAATCTCAATCCGTAGTTGATTAATTCAAATTCAAACGATAGACACCACCGGTAGCGTTCGCCAGAGGGTGGTGACTCGTAAGGTCTGAGAACTTCCCCGTATTTGTCTACCTGCTACCTTTCTCCATTGTTCACGATAATCCACCGGCCTTACCGTTGAACCCACGTCTATTTTAAAAACGGCAATTAAAGCCTGGCTACCCTGAAAATCCTAGGGCCTGGACTGTGCCCTTCTTAAAAACTTAATTCCTCTGGACCTTTGTACAGGTTAATTGAAAATTTCCTTATCGTTTGTTCCAGGAAAAGGTTGTTTCTGGTCAAAGCTACTCCTCGAACAAAAATGCTACAAGAAATGATATCAGTCCTGTTTTCGGTAAGTACACATTATTATTTAATTTTTATAAATGTGTGGTGATTAGTGACCGTTAATCGATAATTATTCAGAAATCGTGAGATGGGGTCTGGTTTGATATAGGTTTCAGAAAAACATTTTCTATATTGTGCCAACGTTTCGATCTTTATTGAGATCATCTTCAGGGCCTGGGATTTACAAACATTGTTTACATTTAACAAATACATGTAGAAAGTTGGCACGATAAAGAAAATGTTTTTCTGAAGCCTACATCAAACCAGACCGCATCTCACGATTTCTGAATAATTAATTTTTATAGTTTAACAAGTTCTAGTTAATATATAAACCATTATACTAAATTATGCCTGTATTGTATCCACAATATGTTACAGTACAACTTAAATTTAAATTATGCAATAATTTGTTGATGTGATGAGCGATCGAGAATGAAATATTTGAGAAAAACGCCTTTTCCTTTTTTTGCCGATGTCTGGTCATCTTCAGGGCCTGGTTGAATTACAAAACTTATGTTGATTTGAAAAAATATAATAGAAATGTAAATATAAACTTTGAACTAAGTATTTCACATTCACATAAAGTGTGGTGCTTATTATTGAACAACCGGCCACTAAAAAACACACAAATATTAATTTTTCTTTACACCATTGTAATATACAAAAAAATCGTACTTGGGTCATCTAGGTTAGTCTGTTCTTGCCACATGATCAGATGCAGATTTTTATTTTCCCAACGAATACAGCGAGACTAGGCGGACCATGATGGTCAAAGGCTCCTCTTACCCCTGTTTTAAAGGGCTATCTTTGCATAAAAGGAAATAATTTATATATGTAGCCTAATTTTTAATTTAATTAATTTTTAATTGTCTGATTTACCCTGATCCACCTGTTATCGAATATTTTGAAGATTATAACTCCCCCCCCCCAAAAAAAAAAAAATCTTAAGTGCATGCTAACCAGGTTAATCAAGATCGTCAAACATATTTTCAATAAATGTATACAATTTCTAAACGTCTTGGTGGCAAATTTACAAGTTTTTCAAAATTATTTCGAATTAATTATGCGGAATATTGTAAAGTCCAAGATTGTTAATTGTCCTTAGTTTATGACCGGTCATCAGGCCTATGCGCAAAAAATGGCATTTTGTGAAAATACCCAGGTATATAAAATGAAAATTTGTTAAGAATTTTAAAAGGGTTCTTGAATATCCGGTACGCTTATTCTCGCTGTTGCAATTTTTTTAGTACAAATCTATCCTCTGATATAACTATTTTCTGATTACTCTATGCTTATTCTCAACAAAAAACTTAATTTAATACTTTAACACGTAAAAACACAAAAACTAAATCTATAAATTGTGGTTTTTTTTTTTAAATTATTTTTCTATTCGTCAAACTGGGCCAATAATTTCTGTCTTCCTGAGTTTAATATTGTCTTGTTTTTATTGCAGTACAGTTTTAATGATCGTTCGTAATTTGCCAAATTTTAATACACTAAAATAGAAAAATTTCAAGGTTTGTTCCTTTACCCAAATAACTAATTTTCTGGTTAAGTTAGAGAAAATCCAGCAGTTACTATATAATGAAAAATATAGTAAGTTGAACCTTAAACCGACAGTACTTTCATGGGAACTTTAATAAGATCAGTTCCTTTATTCCTTTACCTGTTACGCCAATAAAACCGTCAACCTGCAGTTTTATATTTCTTAATCTGATGCTAAATTGTTGTCGGTAAACCCACCTTGTAAATCATCGGGGCAAACGGAACCGTCAGGTGTTCCATGAGTCCTGTTTAGTACCGCTATTTCGTGATTTTTAGTTTTATTTACCGTGTATTTTTTTTAAATATTAGTGAAATAAATAGAAATTTTGACTTTAGGGAACAACTAGGGCTGAAGATGTATGGAAAATATTGTAAAGTCTGTTTTAATTACAGTTTTCTTAATCAGAGTTGTTTTTACTTCCCGTTAATATCAATGGTAGAGTAATTATCCTATCGCGGTTCATGTCTGACAGTACTGTATAACTTAACGCAGCTCTGTAGGATAAGAATTGAAACAGAATTAGAGTCAATTTTGGATTTAAAAAAGACGAAAGCTTATCAGATCAATTAACAATGAAGCTATTCTAACCAGACCAATCTGGGTTTTAAATTATTCTTCAAATTTTGTTTAAAATAACGATAATGGATAACATAAAGCATAAATAATAATGCAAGAAAAGGTGTTCAATCCCAAAGGATGATCAATAATGAATCTTTCGAAATAGAATGAGTCGTTCGCCCTGGATTAAAGTTCCCGAATCATGATTGATATGCACAGATCGGATCGTCTAGATGTATCTCGGAGCTGATAACATGAGGTCATTTATTAAATTAAATCTAACACCGTGGGTGTGAAAGGACCAGGATTGTGAAACGGCCGAATCCGGGCGGCTGAAGAGGACGAGGATCGGTTTCCTTTTGGACGGTAACCAGGAGGTGATTAGGTGCCGCTCCACGGGCCGGTTCTCCACTTTTCTCCACCTATGAGTACGATTCTCTTTGTTTGGCCCTACGTTATCAATGTGGATAGTAGGCCGGCGCAACAGATTTCTCCACTCCTCACCCTCGCCGTATCTCCGTTTCATCTCCCGTGCTCAATCAAAACATTAACAGACCATTAGGGCCTAGGGGAATCTTTCGATATCGGTTAATCGGTTGAATATTCAAATGGATACTGAGAGTGAATCCGTTGGTCAGTTAGAAAAAAAGAAATCTGTAATTTTATTCATTAACCGATGATTTAGTATTTTATAACAACCTGTCAATTTTTAAATTAACCCTCGGGCCTTATTTCTTCTAAATAAATGCACAGGCTACCTGATTCGCTTCAAAATCAATCTCCTTTTTTGAATGGTTTTAAACACTCACAGTTTATACGGGCGCATAATTTTCCATAGATTTTGCAACAGCATTTGATTTTTAAAACTTTTTTTTTCATTATATTTTGATCATAAGATAAATCTATCCAATTTATGGTAAGATATCTTTAACGACCATGTGGTGGTGTCCGCAATGGCTTTAGAAATGTGCAACTAAATTACTGGGAACTTATAAATTCCATGAAGTGACAAGTATACAAAATTTCGGAAATGCCCGCCTCATGGCTGGACGATCAACTCCGCGAAACGTCACGTATCTCTTGAGACCTCTATTCCCTCCAGGCAATTGACAGTTCCTTCAATCCTACCGATTTATGAAAAACTTGAAATTGTAAAGCCTCCTCATTCATGCGTTTATACTGGACAATGTCCAGTGGACATTGTGCCTAGAAGGGTTACACCACCAGGTTCCCCGATTGCCTGCGCCGTAGAAAATCCTCAACGTGGTTACCCTGATAAAAAAACCTTATTAGATCAGACAGCCAAGCTGCCATAAACGCACCAACGCGTAAAAATGTCACATCTGAAATAGCCAGCGAATGCATTGGAAAACGGAAAAGGCAATAACTTTTGTGCCAGAATACAAATCAGTTTTGTGTAATGAAAATGCAGATAAATTGGCCAGAGGATGATCTGCAAGACCATAGGCAGACCGAGAAACTTCTACTTGGGATAACAAAGACGAATATAGAATCCTCCGTGTAAAAATGTGTCCACAAAAAAAGGAATAGTGGATGAACTTGAAACTTGAGAGGTGCCAGACACAATCAATTATGATGAAACCTTACCAAAGCGAACACATTACTACATCTAGAAGCAACATACACGACATACATAAATATAAACTTAGCTATGTTCAATGATTTGAACCATTTGTAGGTTGTTCAATGAGGATGAAACCTACACCGATATGATCTTAGAATACGAAGCAATCATCCAATAACCTAGTGTATATAATGTGTGGTGATTAGCGACCGTTTGTCGATGATTTGTAGATGTGTCATTCTTGTGTGTCGTATTGAGAATCAACAGCAGAACAACTCTCAACACGAACACAAGAATGACACAATTACGCAGAAAATAAACATTTTGAACCCTGAAGATGATCTCAATAAACGTCGAAACGTTGGCACGATAAAGAAAATGTTTTTCTGAAACCTACGTCACACCAGACCGCATCTCACGATTTCTGAATAATCTAGTGTATACAGAAAACCTAGGCAAAAGAATTTCAGCAAATGACATTGTCCTTTGTAAGACAAGGATCGAGTAGATTAATGAACGGAGGATTTAGGAAGTGTAGAGTAACCCATAAGGCTCCAGTGCTTGGAAAGTACCAACCTAGCATTCAATCATGATCGTCCCTATCCAACACCGCCTTAGTCCACATTCTTCTTTGTGCTGTTTTTAACTCTTTTTCTCTTAGCCCAGTGATGAAGTAGCTACCAAAAGGCAGAGTACTAATTTCAATATGTCATCCATGCCACACCTTTTTCGCAATTAAATCCCAAAAGATAGCAGCATCGTCAAAGTTATTTACATTTTGTAAACCAATTAGCGTGAATTCCGATATCAGGGGTAATGGAAGAATATTCAATCCGTATAGAAATATGAGGTCAATTAAATTTGGATTATTTTGGTTATTGAGGAGGCAGATAACCGTTACTACAGAGGTACACTGAGCTTAGTAGGTTGTTTGGTTGTTGGCAATAATGTTTTGGTCTGTGTATTCTCACTCTCGTCGACTTGAGACCTGTGCGTTGATATCCCCTTGGTCTGTACGGACCCTTGGTTTCTCGCCATCTTCATTGCCATATAATAGTGTATTTATTTGGTGTTTTGCAGTGTTTTGTGTAAAAATATCGCCGCTTCAGAACATCATCATTGTCCGAGGACTAATGTGATTTCCCACAGGAACTTAGTAACGCCGGCTAAGACGAACTTAATGCTTTAATCGAAAATAATCGTCAGTACACCACCAGTCATTAGCGGAATTGCTCACCGCAAAGTGTAGTTTTCAATTTCCAGAAACTTAGGCTGTGTTAGCCGACTCGATACTCGAGTACCTCAGTCAGTACTTGTC